CAGTATTTTAGTTTTACTTTTATTTATTTTCATACAGTACTGATCTGTCAGTACCGCTTCCATTTTATTTAAAGCTATCTCTAGGTCCTCCTTGCTAGATGCTAATACTGCTATATCATCTGCAAATCTAAGCATACTAATCTTTTGCCCTTGCACATCTAACCCTACAGTTGTACTGTCTTTAATGATGTTGATGGCGTCTTCGATGTATAGAGTATATAGAGGCATATAAATACGTTAGGCGCGGAAACCATTTCTTCACTCAATTTTAGGAGTTGGAAAAGAAATATTATACAAAAAATTAATGTACCTCAACCACCACCTGACCCCGGATGCCCTCTAAACTAGGACAAATCCGGGGAAACCCGGACGGATGGCAACCCCAATCAAACAAAGTCTAACCTAACCATACTTCAATGCTCTTATTTGATTGCCTAAGAACATAAGGTTACGATAGCAAAAGACAACATGAATACAGTGAGTGTTGTCATAATCATGACCTTCCTTTTGTCTGTAGAAATGTGAATCTTACACTAAAATTTCAACAAAATTAGAGGTCAGCATCCTAATCGAGACATTAATATACTTCATTTACTTTCTCTAGCGATATGCCCCTTCCAATGTCTTGGATGCGCACTGGCAAAATCGTAGGTAGGGAGAAAAAAGCTCATTATACTCTCGACCCTTGTTCATTAAGCATACTTCTTCATACAGTACCTGCCAAAAGTTTTGTTCAATCATGAATAGTAGTGCGATTCGAAAACAAGCGTTAAAGCCTTTAATATGTCTTCAAATATAAATAAACATCTAGTTGATATTTTCAGTAGTAACTGGTAGCAATAGCAGCACATTTGAGCAATGCAATTGTGGTGGATAAAATGGTCAGTTTTTCCAGTGCAGTACTTACGGATCATACGCTCCTCACCGGGTAAGAGTTTGAGCGAGAGTTGTCTCCTTCCTTTTCTGGCCTAGTGCTGTTCTTTTCTACTTTGCGCCAGTCAAACTGAAGGTCACATCGCTACAGAAAGTAAACGAAGTATA